ATAAAGCAAGATGCGTGAATTTGATGATAAATTCACCTCGTCCATTAGCAACTCAATCAATGCTATTTGAAAGTCCAAAATCATCTAATAATTCTGTATCAAATAATAATAAAGCTATATCACGTAATTATTTAATTTTATTTTAAATGTATTTATAATATATAGCATTTAAACTAATTAGTTAATATTTTTAAATAGAATATATTTCTTTAATATGCTTTGACCAATTTAAACAACCTCGTAAAAAACTTGACAGAGCTTTATCTATTCCATTACTTCTTGATACAATTACACATTTTAATCAAATAGAAGAAGCAATTTTATCAAGAGAACATCCAAAAGAATGGGGAAAAATTCGACTTGGTCTAATTTGTTATCAAATATCAACTGCATGTAAAGCAGATCATTTTAATTTAAAATTGGATAATGCAATTATGGCATTTATAACTGAATGTAAAACAAGAAAAAATGTTCAATTATGTGTTTACTCTGAAAAAATTCTTAAAAGAAAAGAAATAACATATGGAAGCTCTGTTATTGAAGAAAATATAGAAGATTTAAATTCCAAAAAAATTCGGGTATATTTATTATTATATGTTTTGTATTTAATATTTTAATTATTTTTGATTATAAATAAAAAATATATATATTAGAGTGAAAGCACAAGTGAAGCTGCTCTTATTTCTGCAAAACAATCGATATATAAAAATTTTGAAAAATGTGAATTTCATATTCAAGGATGTCTAAAAAATGAAGATGGACGTCATTTAAAAGTGGATAATGAAATGATTACCTTATGGGCACGTGCAATGATATTCAAAATATAATAAAATTATAAAATTGATTTTTATATTATAATTATCATAAATAATAAAATCAAAAATATTTATTAAATTATAGGTTAATAAATTAAAAGGAGTAAATGCAACAACTCCGCCACCAATATCAAAATTTGATAAAATTAAATACAAATTTCCAAATACAAAACAATCCATAAATAATCATGTTGATAAAGTTTTTAATGATGGTAAAGATATTAATTTTAATATTATATGTTTTATAAATTATTATATATGTTATTAACTAAATAATATTTTCAAGCTTCTTTTAATTTACCTATAAGGAAATCAATACTTAGTACTATTACAATCCATTTAAAAAAGAAGTCTCTGTATAGATCTAATATTCAAATTACTAAAGGCATGACATTTCAAAATCTTATTACTTTTATATTTCCTTCTGGTCCTCCAGTAGGAAAACGTTTTATTGCAAAATTATCTCTTAATTTAGATGAAAATACATTTTTACCAGAACAAATTATTGAAGAAATTTTTTTTGAGAATCATGCTGAAATTTGGATTGATATAGAAAAGACTGAAATTGATTATAATGATTTATTTGATGAAATCGATTAATAATACTTTATTGAATTTTTTTGATTTTTTTTTATTATACTTTTTATATTTTAATTTTAATATTTATATTATCTTGTAAATAAATTTTATTTTAACGAATTATATGATAATCATAAAATTTTCCTATTTTGGACACAATGTAAATTACTATAAATAGAAAAGAAATTTTATTTTATTTTGATGCTTAAAAATCTTAATCATATTTAATCATATTTTTTTATACCATAATTTCAAATTGAATCTAGTATACTATCACCATTAATATTAATCCTTTTACGATTCATTGTCTATAAATTTTATATTCTGCTTGACCATAATTTCTTTTCGTCACCTAGATTCTCTAACTCGTCGTTAACTGAACCAAAAATTAATAAAGTTTACATTTAAATTAATATTAAATAATTAAAAGTGAAATTCATAATCTACAATATAAATTACCTTAAAAATTTCTTATAATAATGATCTTCAAAGATCAATAATAATACATATATGATAGAAAAAAATTATATTTAATATTAAGAAATAATGTATTATTATAAAAGTAATAATTTTTTAATTTCTTATTAATCAAATTTATAAATACCTTATAAAAACTTAAAAAAAGTTTATTATTCATAAAAAAATTGATTCATTTAGCTTTAATCCTAATCAAACTAAATCTTTATATTGATTATTAATAAACTCTTCTTGATTTCTTTTAAGATCCGTGATTTTAATATGAAGAATGAATTGTTCCCTGGCTTGCTGGGCTAATAGATAATTAAATAAAGCAGTGTAAAAGTTTTTGCAAAGATTCAAAACATTTCTGGTTTCGAGTTGCAATTCAACAAGTTCTTGACCATTACCAAATTTGTTAAGTATTAGACTAGAAGCTTCATTTACGATATGTTGTTCCAAACTTTCCGCATATGCTTATTCATCATCATTCATAAGAATTTCATTAAGAATCGAAGGACATTCGTGAATAGTTGAATTGCCGCTAAGGTTGAACTAGCATTCTTCTACCAAAATATATGTAAAAGAATAGGATTTGTGATATTCTCTCTACCAAGTTTACTATCGTAATATAATTTTGATTCCACAAGTTGTAAAGACTTGTCAGCATTATCTAAACGAATAAAAAACTTCTTCATTATTAAACCAAACTTTTTTAAAATTTCTTTACAATGCTCATTAGATTCAGTAGCTTTGGTGATAAATTAATACATAAAATTTAATTTAAATAACCACTATGTTGAAAGCATGCCTTTGCTAAATCTTTGTTAATGGTCATACAAGTAAAATCTAAAGCTTGTATAGAATTTTCCATAGATTCAATCCAATTCCGATTTTGACGTAAAAAATGCTTAATATAAAAAAAGGTTTGTTCAATCTATAATAATAAAATAATAATATATTTAATTTAATAATTAATAATATAAATTGAAAATTAATATACTATATTTATTTATATATAAACATACCGGATTGTAATCTGGAGAATATGGTGGTAAAAATTGAAGAATGATGCCTTTTTCTTCACAAAGATCGTGTAAATTTCTTCCTTTATGTATAGATGCATTATCTAACACAAGAACACTATAAGGTCCTGAAAATGCATTCATTTTTGGAAGCTATTAAAAAAATAATTATTATAAAAAATTTAATAAAGTATTTAATTTCTTTAATTAAAATTATAAAAATTCATACCAAAATGTGTTCAACAAATATTCATAATCGCAAGCATCCATTGATCCTTTCTGGATCCCATATGCTAAGAGACCATTTACACACAATGCACCTTCTATTGTAAATCTTTTACCTCGAACAAAAAAAGAAGGTTTTTTTGCACGAAAACCAGATATATTCCATCCATATCTACGTGAAAGAGTTCTTTTATCATATGCAGATTCATCAGAAAAAATGAGTTGCGATGCTGTATATTGAGATATATTTAGAATAAAATTTGCTCTATCCCTTTCATTTCTTTCCTTCGCAAATT